TCTAGTTTGAAACCCCATCATCATTTTCATATATTTTTATGTTTTTAAAATTTTAAATAAATTATTCGTTTTTTTTTTTGCTGTTTCGTTGTTGTTAGGTTAGGTACTTTAGTTTTTAGCTGTCGCTTCACGACAGACATCATTAGTTGGTGTTACTAAAATAATGTTATCTTTTTAAATAATTAAAACTTGTATGTAAACATAAGAATATTTTTTAATTTTATTAAAAATAGTACCTACGTGTGAAATTTACATGAATTGAAATTAAGAAAGTAATAATTAAGAATATTTTGTCGACAATTATTCATGCCTACATGCCTATATCTCAATACAGCAAATAATCTAAATATTTCACATAGGCACTAGCCTTTTAATATAAAACTGCAATATTTTCAATTACTCCGTTTGCATCAAAATTATTCGATTACATATTTTAGTAAAAAGTGAAATAAGTAGGATTTTTAAAAAAAATATTTCTATAGAGTGTTTCCTTGATCAAAATATGATATTTTTTCACCCCACCCCATTGTAATATTTTGTTAATTAAGCTACACATCTAATTTTGTAACTGACCAAAACCATCTACTATTTTTTATTATTTTTGTGATGTCATCGATCTCAATATGTCAATCTCTAAATGCGATTTCCCACAATACGGAAATTTTGTGTTAATGCAGTTTATGAATAAATGTGCGACATTTACAAAATTTTATTAAAATCGGTTGAGTGGTTTCCGAGTTCGTTGGGGACAAAGAATGTGATTTTAAATATTATATAAAAATAAGAGAAACTACTGCTTCACTAAACGTACCGATTACGTTATATTCGTGCGTCACATGCCGGTACACTGTACACAGTGTACAATTAGCAATTACAACTACAATATACATTTCCCTTACGACCACGGCCACGTGCTCAATGTAACGTTTACATACTCGACGAGCACAGAGAGGTAGGCACGAGTACGAACGTAAAAGTAAACGCCTTGTTCGGGTGTTCTCGCTACTCGGTCAGAGAATTCGGCTGTTCTCTACTCGATGTCGGCTTTTTGACCCGAGTAAAAGGATTGCTCGTATATAATATATTCGTGTCGGTGCTTACATACTCTCTATCACTATTTTTCTAATAAAATAATTTAGTAAAATAATAAAAATAAAATACTATATAAGATAGGGGGTAACGAATATAGTATTTTTATTGAACTTTATCAACGAGAACCCGTGATAATATGGGGTCCATGAAAATAAAATCAGTTTTAAATAAATGTTAATGAAAGTATATATGTCATCATTCTCAGAAACTGTTTTATTCAATATGGATTATAATTAATACTTCTTGAAAGTCACTTTTTTTCTTTTAACACTGGTTCACAAAAAAACCTCTGTCCTGGGAAGAACTGGCAAGAAATAAGAGCTTACAATCATGTATGTTACAATTAACAACACAGAAAAAATTAGAAATAGCTTGTTAGCAATCACCCTTCCCAAGGGTTATTATCATCCATAAATTCCTTAATATTATCATAACCCTTTTTATACAAACTTAGTTTAATAAAATTTTTGAATTTTGTGTATGTCAAATTTTGTAAATTTTCTGGGATTTTGTTGTAAAAGCGTATATACGCCCCAAGAATGAATTACCGACTCGGTGGAGTTGAGTAACTGGTACTACTAGCTTGTGTCTATTCCTAGTATTTACGGAATGAATATTACTTATTTTTGCAAAATTACTTTTATTTTGTGTACGTACATTACATTTTCATATATGTATTCAGAGGTAGTATATTAATTTCCCTAAATTTTTGTCCGAGCAACTCTTTAGGTTTTAAATTATATATTGCTCTAACGGCCCTCTTTTGCAAAACAAATATAATTTCAGTGTCAGATGCATGTCCCCATAGTATAACACCATACGACATTATGCTATGAAAATAGCTAAAGTAAACTAGTCTAGCCTACACTTGCAAGAGTTCTTATTTTGTTTACAGCATATGCTGTAGAACTAAGTCTGCTAGCTAATTTTGATATGTGGAGGCCTCATTGAAGCTTTGCGTCTAGTGTGATTCCAAGAAATGATGGTAACAAGACTCACCTCCTCCCCATTTAAAATTACGTTAGTATTAACATGTTTGACATTCGGAGTTACGAATTTCATCATCATCATCATTACAGCCCTTCACAAGTCCTCCCCCAAGGTCTCAAGACCCCTAGGCCTCCCCCAAGGTATGCCACAAAGCACGGTCCTGAGCCACCTGCATCCATCGACCTCCTGCATGTCTTACCAGGTTGTCACTCCATCTAGTGGGGGGTCGCCCTATACTTCGCCTACCAGTACGAGGCTGCCACTCGAGAACCTTTTTTCCCCAACGGTTGTCGGTTCTTCGAGCTATATGGCCGGCCCATTGCCACTTCAGCTTATTAATCCGTTGGGCTATATCGGTCACTCTGGTTCTACTGCGGATATCCTCATTTCTAAGTTTATCACGCAGAGAAACTCCGAGCATAGCCTTCTCCATAGCTCGCTGAGCGACTTTGAGCGACCACGTCTCAGTTCCATATGTCATCACTGGCAAAATGCACTGGTTGTACAACTTAGTTTTCAGGTTTTGAGGTATATATTGAGGAGAAGATGTGTCGTAATTTCCCGAACGCTGCCCAGCCGAGTTGACCTCTCGGTCGAAGTTAGACTTACCTAGTCGGGCTATATGTCCCAGGTAAACGTACTCGTCAACAACTTCGAGCTAAGTGCTCGCAACTACTACCGGTATAAGTGTGACATGGATATTAAACGTGATCTTTGTTTTGTCTATGTTCATCTTAAGACCTATCCGTTGGGAGACACTATTGAGGTCATTGAGCATAGTGCTCAAGTCCTCCAGCGATTCTGCCATAAGGACTATATCGTCGGCAAATCGAAGGTGAGTGATGTACTCGCCATTGATGTTAATACCGAATTTCATACATTTAGTGTAAATTATTAACATTTTAATATAACATCATTATCATCATCATTACAGCCCTTCACACGTCCACTGCTGAACAAAGATCTCACCCAAGAAATATCATAAAGTACGGCCCTGGGTCATCAGCATCCATCGATTTTCTGATTGTCTTGCTGGGTCGTCACTCCATCTAGTGGAAGGTCCCACACCACCCAAATAATTATTTGAGTCTTTAAAAATTAAGTAGTTCTCCATGTTTAAAAGATCTACATTTAATGAAAACAGACTCGTATGTAAACGCTTCATACCCGTCCACGAATAACTCGGCGTATTGATCGTGCCGACAATGTAAACGTGCCACAAGCACAGAAATGAAACAAAAATATCTCTTGTACTACTTTCTGCTGGACACTCACGTGGTACTGTCCTTGAATTATAGTGATATCTGTTCAGAGTTTTGAAATAAAGTTGAATAACAGTATTTATTCATATAAACATTATCTAACGGTTATCGTAATACACATTTCAATTTTATATTAATAAATAAAAATTTGCATCCTGCAAAAAAAAACTAAGGCCTCACGAGTCACTAAACGACCTTTTTAAGAAGATTAATATTTTCATAACTCACTAGTTATTAATTTTTTGAATATGATATACGAAAGAAAAAAATATAAATTTAAAAAACTTATTGTCTTCTATAGTACGGTTTGAGGTGATAAACTATAGGTTCTTAAATTAAGATGAGTAAATCTATAAAGCTTATATACATAATCTCTAAAAGTATAGTGCAGCAATCAGGTACAAAATTAAAAAATCTTGTTTAGAAAATGTGTTAAAAACGCCTCCTATAGAATACATCAATTTATTGTAATTATGTGTGGAAATAACTCTCAATTTGCAAGTCTTGTATGTCCCTTGGCTACCGATATTATTTTCTTAAATCAGACATTTAAAATTATAAACCCTTGATAATCATATATCAATTATTTTTGCACTAGTTGTAATTGTAAACAAAATTGTATCAGTAATTGTAAACATAATTGTATTTTAACAAAAGACTGAGCTTCATGCCAATACCCAGAGAAGGACTTGCTTTTGCGAACCGGTGTATACTTAGACGTTCATAAGAGGTACCTAAACAGACAAAAGGTTAAATGTAGTCGATATCGATATTGTTAAAGTTTTTACCACACAGATGACATGACTGCTCGTATTGAAAGACAATAAACTAGTGTTGTTCGGATTCTATCAGTTTTGGTGTTCGAATGTTTTGGTACTAGTTAAAAATAAACGAGTTAGAACTCGAGTTACTGAGTAGTTAACTGATCTTTGATGAATCACCTGCACAATACATTAAAATGCTCGAACGAATGGGGTATTTTATACTCTCATTCCTAACATTTCGTATTTTTGTATTGTAACATATAGGCGATGTCTGAAATCCAATCCTTATTATTGTATTATTAAACGGTTGATAGTCATGATTTATGACAGATTGACAAATATCGATAAAGTCACTATTCCGGCAACGTATCCGCACAAGTCCGTATCAGTGCTACAGAGATGGGACAGTGCTTCAATTCACACACGTCAGTACTCAGGCTACAGATATTCAGGCAAAGCGTGTGTGATGTACTGAGAAAATTGATTGTTGCTATGGCTCTGTTCTTCTTAACAGCCTATATAAGTCTACTGCAGAACATAGGTCTTCCCCATAGATTGTCTCATTGGTAGAATTTTTCCATAGATGCCATTTTTAGCAAGCGAGCTGGCAACCGCAGTTTTTATTATTTTGTGTTGCTATCAGGAAGATACTGCTGCTCATCTCCTGTTTCAGTTTCCCTCTGTCGCCTCGTACATCTACGGTTTGGTATGGGGTAGTAGATATTCTTACACTGCCACAACACGGTGCTATATGGCTCTGTTCAATAATACGGAATTGCTTCAGACGAAGAAGAAGAGCAGTACTAAGGAAAAGAAAAGGAAATAGGTTCCTTACGTTTGGCTAATACAAAGAATTAATTAAAGACGAAAGGAAATATTTTGAATATTTAAAATGTCTGAAACCTGTCTCAATATTCTTCTGAAGAAACTAGTAAGAAAATTGGCAAAGAAAAATACTTGTTGGAGGAAGGCTATAACTCCAAGAGAGAGGCTTATTTTGATGCAGCGGTGTTCGTGATTTAACAAAAATGGCCGATTCACACATATCAGCTAAGTAACAGTTCCGGCGCATTATCGCCACCGTGACAATGATTTTTTCATACATTCTCTATGAACACGTCCACACTTGTCAATGTCAGTAACAACACAGTGCTATCACTGACTGTACCGGCGCCGGCAATCATGGACGGCTATCGGTGATGACAGATTTTTATGTCGGATCACTGACGGCCTGCATCAATAACAAGCTTTTGGTGATATAGCCTTCCACCAACGAGTATCTTTCTTTACTAATTTACTTTGAAGTTTCTGCAGAAGGATATTGAAACAGCTTTCTGACATTTTAAAATATTATAGATATTTCTTTTCATCTTTAACTATGTAATTCTTTGCATAATGTCATGGTAAAGTATTATAAAATGGAAGACATACAGAAAGTCAAGGTATTCAGGAGGCTCGGGACTGTGTTTTTGGAACTCCTTGGGAGAGGCCTATGTTCAGCAGTGGATTTGTAAAGGGCTGTAATGAATAAATGAAATAATGTATTGAATTCTATTTCTGCTTCTTTTAATTGCCACGCTTTAAGCACCCATTTCCTTTTTTTACTTGATGCTGTTCTTTTTCTTGGTCTAAAGCAATAGCTATCATTGCTAGCTCCAAATTATTGAACTGAGCCATACCACGTCACGTACGATTTGCTTGAAGGTCCGTAACCTTAGTACTGACGCGTGTGAACTGAAACACTGCCACATCACTGTAGCACTGGTTTGGACCTTTGCCGACGCGTCGCCTGATCTATGCCTAATATGTGTGAACTGACCAAAAATTCGTCGTCGCCAATTGTCGTCCATGATTGCCGGCACCGGCACTGTCACTGCGGACTCTTGAGCAGTGTGTTGTCACTGACAATGACAGGTGTGGACTTCTTCATAGAGAATGTATAAAAAATACTTATCACGGTCGAGGTACTGCGCCGGAACTGTGACTTCACTGATATGTGTGAATCGGACCTTTAGAAATCGGTTCATTATTTAAGTACTATGAATATTCAAAATTCTTACAATCTAATCTGTGAATGAGGTATCAGTCAGTAGGTACTCGTACTCGAATCTATTTGTACCTGACTTAGCACGGTACATCCCTAAAATAAACCAAGTGGCAATTGGCAAGTGTCAAGCAGTGCAGTGTTGCCGTTTTAGCGACTTTCTCCCTAGATCTAGCGGATTTTAACAATGTTTAGCAAAAAAATCGTTTTAGCGAGAAATAATTATTTAACGACTTCTAGCGACATTTGAACTTTTGAGATGGCGATTTTTTTATATAGTAATTCATTTCAAATAAGTAATTTATCTTATGTCCAATTTTGGAATCCGTATATATAATATAATTTCACGGGAATTCCCGAACATAAACTAACAATTCAACGTCGTTCATTCACTTTCATCTGTTTCGTCATACAAAAATGCAGCAGGAAAAGTAAAAGAACGTACTGAGCTAATTGTTTTATTTTTAATAAGATGACTAATATTTAAACGTGGTTTAAAGATTAAACATTTATTTTTTTACAATATTTTATTATTTTTTACATAAATAATTTTTGTTTTGGTTGTCATGTCATTAACCTACACTATAAATAACTGATTTATATGAAATAGATTCCGCTCTTTTTAAGGTTTTTCTGAATTTATAGATTTAGATTTTCGGTATTCATTGTATACCATTTGGCAAAATTTTTCAGTTAGCCCAATGGTAGCACGAATATGTACCTAGGGACATCTAGCGGATTTTAAGAAAAAGAAAAATCCTGTTTCTGGCGGATTTTTCCTGTCTAGTCTAGTCTGTCTAGTCTAGGGACTTTAAAATTTGTAGAACGGCAACCCTGAAGAAGTGTCAAGCGAAAGCGAAAGTAATATAAGTAACACCCTAAGGGTATTAGTGTTCTGTGAGTAAATGTATTCTGTCATTCTGTGTCTGTGAGTAACACACTCCGGTAGGAGTTAATAGTGTTCTGTGTTAAGTAAAGTGTAAGCTCGCGAATCAAAATGTGATAATAACAAAAAAAAGATGTATTTATTACTAATAAACATAACATTATCATTTATTATTATGATTTGAAATCATTTGTATCACGTTAATGCGTTAGGTATACGTTGCTAAAAAAGTAAATTAAATTATATTAGAAACAAACTGAAATTTCGTATAGGTAATTATTCCGTGCCAGTTAAAGACCAAAAAATTGGTAATATCTTCAATTATAGCTATGGGCTTCATTCTGCGTTAATTACAGGTAACTTTATATCATTTATAATAATGTAGTTAGCTAACTAATTTTGATAGTATTTTTTATTTTCACGTATTAGCTTGCGACACAATATACATATTGAGCGCAATTTTGCTTTGATGGTGAAGGTGAAAAATATTACAGATATTGGAAGATTACCTTTATGTGCGACTGCAGTTTTTATTTATTTCGATGGAGTGCATACCTTCTAAGTTAGTTCTGTGTGCATGAATGTTGATTTTTCACTAGACAAAAGAAAACGATTCTTAGCAAATTATTAATACATTCGGATTGTTTATTAACTGTAAAGTATTATTTGTAGTTTTACTTTTGTTACTATTATTAAGACCTGTACCTAAATTTACGATTTCTTAGATTACTTGTCAGTTAAGAGGCATTGCTATGGTACTGACAAATTTATTTTCGGTTTTTTAGTTGGCAGATATTGAATGTAAATAAAATAACTGTAATGCTATGGTAATAATTTAATTAGAATAAACTATTTGACTATGTAAGTAATTAACATGGTTAAGATTATTGGCCATGATAGCTTCAGACTTTATTCTGGTTCCAATTAGGATGATGTAGAAGAATTAGCATAAACATTGGAATTATCTTCATCCCATGAAGTGTTCTCAATAGGAATAGTATGTCTTAACAGATCTTGATTGGCAATGGCAATGGCATCTGTACTGTACAGACATTACCTGCATTTTTAAGGATCAAAGGACAAAACGGTGAGCTTCTTCTGCGGACAGTATTTGCAATGGGGTAGAAGGCGGTAGGAAGAATTTGCGTTCTTTTATAAAGTTTGATGTTCTAATGTCATTAGTGAGATTTAAGATAGATGGGATCGTCAGCATTATGTAGGGACCCTCGTTGTGGTAGTAAGTATCAGAAACTAAAACAGCGGTATTAATAATTATACTAACTGCTTTTGTGAATATTGTGGTGAACTTTGTGCTTAAAATCAAATAATAATTTGAAATAATATCACTTATTTGTAACTGAAGATTCTATCTGGGATCTTCAAGGCGATTTTAGTAAATGTTAACTAAAAAAATACATTGTGGGACTCATGAAATAACTTTTTTTTAAAACAAACTTGAACATGTTAGTTTTTTATCAAACAAAAACCCATTCTGGACAGAACCCCTTTAGACAGCTATTTATATCTAAGTAGTTAAGTAAATAAAGTTATAAGTTTACCTACAATGTTAATGACAGATAGAAAGAGTGAAAGTGAGAAAATGTTATTCAATTATGTATGTTGCATTCTATGTTCACATTAACTCTTTTGTGGGTGAAAAATGCAACTCATATCCACTCACACATTCATTAATTTGTAACAGGTATATCACAGAAAACCTTTAGGATATATTCTCCCACTAAACATGTCAAAATGCAGTTGCAAGAGCCGTAGTTAAGTGATATTTCCATAAAGTAATATGAAAAAGTTTTGTTATAGTTTTAGTAGCTTTTTCCATGAATCATTAGGAGTCTTTCTAATAATAGTAGGAAGTTGATGAGTACTCCTGAAGATGCGAAATTGAACTTCCCGTCTATTGGAATAAAAAGTCAAATTTGATAAAAGTGGTAGTTGGGAGTTATTGGTACTTCATAGACGATATTTAAAATGCAGTCTTAGCATTAAACTTTTCGTAATATATTTTTCAAGTTATGTTATTTTATAAATGATAATTATGAATCCATTAATCTATCCTTGTGCAGTGCATAGCATATTGTGTACTATTTTATTTTTATAAAGAAGTGTTTTGTCACATGGGTTTGAATATAGAAATACAAAACAGACATACTAAAATTAGCAAAACTGGATAGCTTGTAGAGACAGGTCGGTATATGTGTCTATATTGTCAATATTATGGGCTACAGAAACACATAAGTTTATCAGAATCGTATAAATATCATACATCAAGCAACAACTTTTTAACATCAGGCACACCTTCTGATGTGTCTCTATGAAGGGAAAATGGTCCTGAAATCGGAATTGCGTTATTTATATTTTATGCATTATTAAAGTTTGGCATAGTTTTGATAAAATGAGGTTTAATTTCATGGTCTTTATTAATATTGGTCCCATTGAATATTGATTAGCACCACATGCCAGTATTTCTTTACTTTCGAGTAGACTTCAAAAATTCATATGTATTTCACGTTGAATGTGTGAGAGGAACTAAATTCATAAACAGGAGTAGAATCTACGTAAGATGGGCAGCAGCGTCTTCCTGATCATAGTTCAAAATAATAAAAATACGCAGTTGGCAACTTGCATGCCAAGCGTGGCAACTATGGCAAATATCAAACTTTTTTGGCAATCTCTGGTGGAAATCCAAATGATGAATGGGAGTAGAAACAATACATTAGCCATGTAGAGGCGGCGGAAAAGAAACCACTACCCTATTTCGTCACGTGGGTGTCCTAAGAGGCGTCAGAGGGAAACTGAAACAGGGGATGGGTAGCATCTTCTTGATAACAGCGCAAGCAAAGTAATAAAGAGCTGCGGTTGCAAACCCGCTTACCAAGCGTGAACAGAGGTTAAAGGTTAACTCACGCTAGACCGAGTCGGGTTCGAGCCGAGTGTCGGCCGTAGCACGGTCACCGAGCCAGTCCCGTGCCTGAAATTACAGAGACCGGGCCTCGACCGAGCAATTACCGTTGCGCTGCGATGCAGTATACTCACCCGAGCGAAAATAGTGTTATAACTAGACTACAATTATGTTGAAGTTTGACGATCTGGAATTAGCGGCTATTGCGATCGCTCTGGACGAAGAAGAATTTGATAAATCTTTAACTACAAGCCGGGACCGAGTTGTTGTGGAGCGATGTCCGTTGCTCGGCCGTCACTTGGTTTCCGCTCGGTATAGTGCGAGTGTGTTCATACAAAATATAATATAACCGCGCTACGGCCGAGCCTCGGCTCGGACACGACACGGTCTATCGTGAGTCATCCTTAACGCGAGATGACCCATACCTATACCTGAAAATGATTTCTAAAATATTTTTTCACTTCTCAGTAATGCAAGTTTCCTTGCGATATTTTTCTTCACCACCGAGAACGTGGTAAATCGAAACTTCAAATTGCAGTTAAATCATGAGTGGAGTCGGGCGCGGATCTAATTTGGGTTGCTTACGTACCTACTACGAAATTTACGTTTAGTTCGATTTGATTACTGGCATATACAGATTACTTTCAAGATTCTATCAATACAGTTCTACTCATAATTAAAATAAAAATAAACGTAACGTAACGTGTTTAAAATTTGCTTTGTTTTATATTATAGTACTTTTTCATAAGACCCTGTTCATTTACTCATGTGAGTTATGAAACCGGAACTTTCACAAAAACTTTAGTAGTTATGTCTGAAAATATTAAGGTTATCTTAATGGGTGCGTTTGGCAGAAAAAAGCGCTAGCAAGCGCTTGTAAGCAAAATGGCGATTGTAAGCGGTAAGCGTTGTCAAATCGTAAGTAGCTATTTTCCTCCAAGACACGATGTTAGTTTTAACCGGGGAACCTAACCTAATTTAAATATATGTTTGTAAAGTATTCATATTAAAAACTTACCAATTATGAATTTTTAATAACATGTATATGTTTATTCACGTCATTATATTACTTAAAACTAATATTGCACAAAACAACTTATAAACTCTACTTCAAAACAAACAAATTAAATAAGCAAAATGGCGGATTGTGTCAGCGCTACTGAAGTAGCAATCGTGTCCTGGCCGAAAACTATTTCAGCGCTTGTAAGCGCTTGCTAGCGCTTTTTTCTGCCAAACGCACCCAATGTATGACAAAGTGAAAAGTTCTGTAGCACAGGCGGCGCAAGGCGTGGGCGACGTGGGCGAGCGCCTATCAGAACTAAATTAATTATAAAAATATAACAGATTTTTGCACTAAACTGTCTCAAATTTGATTATAGGTATAGAAAATAAACAATAAATAAGAAATGATATGTTTATTAACCTAGCAGATACTTAACGGAGAGTTAATTCAAGCCTCTCTTCAACGGTGATAGCAAGTCGGGAAGTTGTATCCCGTTTGACTATCGCTGGCCCGATTAGATATACGAGCTCATCAAAAGACGAAATTCTCAAATTCATCAAAATATATCTGGGTAACATCCGAGTTTAGAGTGCCAGGTGATGTCTGATGTTTCCCATATTCTAATCTATCACTTTAGAATACACCAAAAATGTTCTCTTTTATTTTCGTCTTCTTTTTATTATTAAAGCAAATGTTTTGTACGTGGTAGAGCCATGCTGCATCTATATTATGGTTGTAGCACGAATGAGTCGGCTCGACCGGGGAAGGACCCTCACAATATAATACCAGTGTAAAATAGCAGCTAAATGCTGCTGTTTTTCGTATGGTAAGTGAAGAGATCCGGAGGCCCTTTTTACTGGAAAGGAGGCATTCTAACTTAGTCCTCATGGGTGATAACGCATCTGCATTTTGATTCGTAATCGAAGATAGATATAGATGTCTATGGGCCGCAGCAACCACTTACCAGGTAGACTGTGTGCTCGTTTGTAACCCTATCCTTTAAAAAAATAGAGCGTTTTTTCCCGCATTATCACGCACATGCACCGCGCGGGCAACACTGTCACAGACTAAATCGATTCTAGCAACCAATAAAAAAAAGTTGTTCGATTAAATTATAAAAGTACGCAATTTTGTCGTTCCATAGTTGGCCAACTTACAATTGTATGTCTGCGGGAGCTCTAAATCTGTACAGTCAAAACAAACTGAAATGGACCGTAACTTAAGGCAATAAGACTTTTAAGAGTGCAGTTTTATTTGTATCATTAACAAATCTGTCATCCAATAAAAATGAAGAAAAATAAACTTTATTCCAAGCACGTTAAAGTCTTTGCGTTAGTGGATTTGTACTGTGACCACAACATTCTTCCGGAATCAGTATAACTAATTTGATAAATAATCAGTGCATAAAAATGTTTAACTAAAAATTCAGTGTGTGT